AGTCTTGCGGCCATATTGGGGAACCTCATCAAACGATTCTGATAATATTCCAGCATGGATCCCTGCCACATCTGTCCTTTAGCTATTATACATGAAATATTTGTAGATCCCCTGAATGATCTCTTTTTTTTAATGATGCCAGATGTGGTTGTAACTGAAATGGTCCTGATTAATAGGGGTGTATTAACTGCATGTGGCTTTGTTAAATTATATGCAGTGGCATATAACAGCTGTTTCCTAACTTCTCCTAACCTGCAACTCACCCTTTTTGGCACTGGAGCTGTCCTGCCCTTCAAATGACATCCACTTTTAAATACTGTAAATGTCCTTGAAAGTACTTGATTATTTATTGAAATTTGAGCATCTGAATTCACACATATGCCTCAGATTCCCTCTCAAAATCCAAGGATCAAGAGTGAAGGAAATGGTAGATAGCAACACCATGTAGCAGCGTATGGTTTTAACGCAAAAGTATAACATTACATTTGGGCACCAGACAGAAGAATATTTAAAATATTTATCTGTCAAGAATAAAAAGGTTAATTTATTGAAACAGATGGAGGGATAGCCCGGTGACCTTTACAGGATGTGCAAATAATGTCAGCTTTTCTCCAAAATCATAATCAATAATAAGCAAAGCAAAAGATCACATCAAGACCCATTACCCAAAAACTTAACATCAAAAGATGTAAAAACCAAATTTGTCAGTTCAAACAACAAAATGTCAATTTATTAGGGATGAGGATCTTGTAGAGAGGAGAGGTAGATGAAAAGCAGGCCAGCGAAGGTCACAGATCAGAATGCAGGTTAACATACGATGTTGAAGGTGAATTGTTACATCCCACCAGCTCCTGGGTTCAGTGACATTTAAAATACAGCCTGGTTGACCAGAACAAGTCCTCAAAATGGAACTGGGTTTAAATAGCTGGATCAAACTTCCCTTTCTCTTTCAGCAGTCGAGTGAGATCTGAGAAATACTGGTGTTTGTTTCAGTAGATTATGTTAAATCACCCACAAAATGAATATCCTGTATGCCAACCAGCTTCTGTTTTCACCCTGTGCATGCCTTTTAACTAAGACTTTGGATTATTGTACATTGTAATGTTCAAGGTCATCCTTTTGTTTGATGCATTTATTTGTCAAATAACACCATCCTCAGAAAGTTTTAAGAGATTCAAACATCCTTCTCTCTTGCACATCACATTTCTAATTTAAAAGGCCAAATATATGACATTCCATGAAGCAAACAATGTTTTTTTTAAAAAACAATCTTGGCTAATTATTTGTTGCAGCAGTAAAATGTGTCCGGAATATGTTTAATCAAATTGAGGAATTTGTTAAATTAGTGTCAACAAAACAGTGAAGCCAGCCGTGGCGTCAGAAAAGGACTAAAATAGTTGCTGTGTAACCTCTGACATAACACAGTGTTAGAAATAATGACACATTGCCTACTTGATATTTCTTGACCTGACACAATTCTGAGTATGGAATAAAAGCCCTGCAAACACTAATTTGAACACTCTTTTAGTGCTACTGAATTGCCCATGGCACTTCTATGATGCCGCCAGGTGTTCGCAACAGACTTCTAATGCAACAGTAAATATTATATTTATCTTGCATCAGCAGATACTAGCTATCTCAAAAAGTAAAAGGGAAAAACAGAAACAGACTCATTTCCACATATTGTGAGTTGTAAGTGATAATCAATCAATCCGCAGTTTGTTTGCTTGTATATTTATTTCCAAGCCCTCAGCAGTCATTTCTCTCCTGTTGGGAGTATCACAGCCCCTGGATCTTGTGTTTGTGGATCATACAGGTTTGAGCCCGCCAATTACAACGAGCTGTGAGGCCTTGATGTCCAAGCACGTCCAAATGGAATAATGTCATGCTCATAGCTACAGGGCGGACTTCAGACAGAGCATATCAGCAGCCTGCCTGTGGGCGGATAAGACACATAAAGGACGGAGGATGTGAAGAGCTCTGCGTTTTCCATCCGATGATAATAAATGAATCCGGTCTGATCTTTGTTTGTTTGATAGGTTTCTTTCATCTCCGGGTTCCTGAGTCTTCCGCAGTGGGCTCTGCTGTCGGAAGAATCAAGGCCCATGACTTGGACATCGGGAAAAATGCCGAAGTAGAGTACACCATCGTGCCAGGTGACGGAGGGGCCATGTTCGACATCACCACGAATGAACACAACCAAGAGGGGATCATCATTCTCAAAAGGGTATGGAAGACCTTTTTTAAAGTCAGCAAATAGTACAGATGACCACATTAATTTACCAATGTATCTAGTTGTTCTACTTTTTTTAAATGCAACCCTTCCTGTGGATTTTCAAATTAAAAGCCAACCAATAAGGGAAAAGCCTAGTTTCAATGTTAAAAAGTGTTGGAATGCATTGATGGAAGCTTATTAACATGCACACCAAAACATAACACTGTCTATTGATTTTCTGCTACACAATTAAAATGCATCTTTACAGTACATTGCAGATAACTCCCGAACAGAATGTTTCTACATACAAATGACATACATATATGCAAAACGGTGCCCTAAGGGGTCATATCACATCTTGACAGCATCATATTACATTATACAAGTCAAATAATATGACAATATGAATGCCATAGTTTTCAAAAGGGGGCCTTAAATAAGGCCTAGTGAAGCAGACTTGTCATTCAAGACAAAGCAACACATTTGTTGTGCTGCTGTTTGTTTTATTCTGCTTTTGAAACCTCTTTCATGCTGGAGAGGCTGTCTAATTCCTGTCCAACCCTTCCTTCCTGTTTGTGACAGGGAATGGGAAAAGGGATGTAACACTGGAGAAAAATATGGCAGCTTAACATATACAGTATATACACAGTTGTGTACGTGTGAAAGTGCGGGAGGGGTTGTTCCAGCACCCCTAGCATCTTGCACTTCCTGTGAATATGACACTGTGTGTTATAATACACCTAGAAGCTCACTTTACATTACATTTTACATTTACACATATTAAAAATCAATGTTTAAATACATAAAACCATACCAAGTGTGCAGGTCATTGTGTTACACAACGGATGCTGAACCTGTGAGATGCTGCTCTCTTTCTGTTTGTCTCTTGCAGCCGATGCCTAAGAGCAACGCTCAGAGCAAAGGAGTAGCGCTCTCTGAGTGCCTGTGCTATATAAAGCATTAACTCAGCCTGTCAGGCCTCATTTACTATGCCATATGTTCTTTTTGGCTAAATGGATTAATACAGCCAGTGCATAGTGACCCACATCAAGAGGTCTCGGCCTTTGGTTGCACTTCCTCTGAACAACAGTGCAAAGATATCTACTTTTAGCACGTTTGTAGGGCTATGATATCACTGCAGTAAAAGTGGCACGAAAGCACCAGTGATTTATAAAGTATGACTCCAAGGATAAACCCCTTGGGATCTATCATCTCATCTCAAGGGGGACCTACAACTGCCAGAGGTGAAAGAAAAAGGAAATAACAGCCACAGAGTAATGTTAGAAGCATGAATAGATTGACCTGTGTGCTAATCTACTAAATAGCTAGGCTATAATAAGACTTATTATGCAACCAATTATTAACTTAAGCCGATACATACTTGTTTATCCATTCCAAGATCTAGTTCATTCATACTTTAAATAATATCATGACCTTATATCCTGTATGTCTGAGATCTGAGGAGTGGATTAACAATGTATGGATATTCATTTCATTTCAAATAAACCAATGTGCAGTTTTCTGTGATAATTTCATTAATAACTATTGCAATTTTAAATTATAGGACACATTAAACAGCTTCAGATTTGTTCCATGGAAAAGCCTGTTAGAGAATTCCTTCATCAATCTTAATGTCAGCTTTCTTAATGTATTCATGTTGTTTTGGTTTATGAAATCTCATAGTTAAAGAGGTTAAAGCCCAAACCCACCAAATATAAAGATTATTATTCTCCTCCCACAGGCTTCACTGTAGAGATATTATTTCTCCTCGGACACTGAAAGCATTCAGCTGGCTGACAAAGGGTGATAATATGCATTTATGAGCAGAGAATAAAAGAGTCTCAGTATCGGCTTATTAAAGTTTCAGGGGACTACACACCTACTTTTAAGATGGTGATAAGCGCCAGTGTGACAAAAAGGGCATTATTAAGATCATGGGCGTTATGAAAGGCTCATTAGAATGTCACCTTTCCCATATTTGTTCATATTAATCACGGCGTAAATGCTCTGTAAAGAGGAATCCGGGCTCACAGATATTATACATTTACTAGTTACTCAGCAGATTGAAATTGTTAAAGAATATATGAAAAACATTTAAAAAAAAATGATATATCAATATAGGTTAAGCGACCAGCAGCATTTCAAATAAACAAAAATAATCCCCACAGTCATCAGCTGCAACATTAAAGTTATGTTTAATGCATTATAAATAAATAATCTGATGACTGTGGGGATTATTTTTGTTTATTTGAAATGCTGCTGGTCGCTTAACCTANCGGGAGAGGGAAGCGAGAGGGATTGTCTGCACACATTTGCACACCTGTCTCTAGGGATATTCCACCAATGTGAAATAAGACAAGTCTGTGGGCGGGTCAGTATTCTGGGAACACAGTGAACAACTCATAAAGGCTTCATCTCTAGCTCCCCACACCTTTCCCAGGCACAGCTCATCCCTCTCTCCTCTGATTCTCACTCTGCCCATGTCCTATCACTACCCCACATGGGCAGAAGCACGTGTTGTTTAGTGCATTACACTGCGGGGGAGCCTGGGCAGGTAAAAGGGATAAGAACGTCCCCCATCAACAATGCCTTTGTGCAGTAGCTTACCACTGTAGGGAATCCATCACACTGCCTCTGTGTTATATGGCAGTAAATCAAACACTACAAGTGAAAACATTAAAGACGAGATGCATCCCCATCCATTGAGGCTATACATGTAAACCATTCATTTACATCATAATTGCATCCTGCCTCATTTGGTTATTCCATTACTGTCAATGAGAAGGTCACTTTAAAATGATCTATTGACATGCCTTTGAGAACAGTAGGTACATATATGTAAGCATGATATGGGGTTTGCATACACGTGCTCAGCGCATACTAACGCCGAGCAGGGAATCAATTACTCACTCAGCGGCATATTTTTCTGGGATCAAAGGATCACACACCTTTGTGTTTGCTGGGGCTTGTACTAAAAATGTATCGGTAAGCAAATACCCAAGTCTGATACGTCAGAAAAACAAATTGAGATTTGCATTTTCCCCGGAAACATTTTACACACTTAGATCAGAAATACCCTGAAAGGTGCATGAACAGATAGAATTGTCTGGCGTCAAATCACACAAAACATAATTCGGTATCCCCGAACTGAAAGAAGTGACAAAAAAAGATGTATTACCATTTCTTACGGGTATTTTGTGGAGGTGAATTCACATGAAAGAGGCAGGATTTAATGTGAAACCGACTCTTTTAATTCTTTAATAATGAATTTAATTTAACAGCTGCAGAATGTTAGAGGACTCTGTTTTCCTATTTTTTAGTTGTGAGCAATTGATACTGTTCTGTTCTAACATTCAACATAATGGTCATTGAATGTGGGACAGAATTAGTTTCAGTAGAGTTGGAACCTTTTTCACATAAGATATTGTATGATATATTAAGGATATCATACAGTTCTCCTTAAGTGCCAATGTTCCAACATACAGAACAATCCAGGTAAGCAATTAATTTCCTCCACAAATCAGAGCATCTCTCATAAATATCTTTCTGACTTTAAATAGATTTTCCCTACATCATATCAAAGAGACATTTTGTGGCTCTTGCATTATGCAAACGTGGCTTTGCTCTGCAGTCATTTTTTGTGCTTCCATTGAACCTCAACAGCACTGACAACAAAGGGCATCTAAACTCACCGCAGGGGTCTGCTGCATCCTGCCAAAGGGAAACGCAGCACCAGGTATGAAGGGATCGATGTGCAGGGGATTGTGGGAGAAGGCTGAAAGCATATCTGTGTGCATGTGTTCCTGCATGAGTAAGATAATGACTTGCATATGTGTAGTTTGGGGTGTGGGCAAGATCAAATAACTTTGATCACATTCCCATTATCATGGTCCTTAGCTGTAACATGACACGTTCGGAAACACTGAGCCAAACAATCGCCAGCTGTTGGAGTGATACTGACGACATGTGTTTTAACAGCACGTTGCTGGAAGTGTGAGCTGACCTCTACATGGCAGAAAGAAGTCTGTAAACTCTGACAATGACAGCCCACTCTCTTCAGTCTGCTTACAAATGACACGACTTTGAATAGGCGTGCAATAGATACGCAGCAATTTTCTCCCACGTTAGTTATTATTAACGTATCTTGAATGCGTTTATTTTCTATATATCTTTGCCATTTATTTAACCCTAACCATAACCCAATAAGCTGCTGTGTCATTTATTGCACTGCAAATATTAAAACTGTCATTGGAACGGCGATCAAGCCTGAAGCCACAGAGCTCTTTGTTTGAGGTGCAATATCAGCGAATCATATGCACGCAAAAACGGACTTCTGAGTATCTATTGGACGCCTTTGCAAAGTCGTGTCATTTGTACGCAGACTGTGAGACCGGGTTGATTTATATATATATATACTGAGTATACCTTATGTTGGTGTACCTTGCATAACTGCATGGACCCGTACGGCACAATACAACTCAGTACATTTTTGGTCATTACGTCAATTTTATACCCTTTCTTTAGTAGAATTGTATAAATTGGAAGGCTAACTAAGTAATCAGCCGTGCATGCGTGGTGAACTGCGTGTTTGGAAAGATGAGATATCAGACTGGCTTACCTGCACGTTAATCAAGTGGCAAATGCCATAGTAAGTAAGGATGGACGATAAGCTAA